GCCGCTGGCCGGGAGGCGGGCGGCCAGGCGTGGGTGGGCCTGTGTGCCAGCAGGCCCGGCTGGGAGAGGAGGCCGGAGGGAAAGAGGGTGCTGGCCGCAGGGTGGGGTGACCTCGGCCTGGAGCCTGCGGTCTCTGCGTGGCCTGGCCACAGGCGGCACCAGCTCAGGCCGGCCCCTGCCGGGGCGCCAGGGACCTCGAGCTTGCGGCTTCCTGGCACGGGTGGGGGCGGGGCGGATGTGCTGCGGCGTGGCCCTGCGGGGTCACGGCCACCCTAAGCGAAGGGCGGTCAGCTCCAGCCGAGCAGGTCGTTCTAGGCCAGCTTGGGGCAGACCGGGCGGCTCCCCTGGGGGTGCCCCAGCGGTTCATGTGGGAAGGCCCTTGGCCCCAGGAAGGTGAACCCGGTCTCCTGTGGACGTGTGTCCCCAGAGGGCCTTGGAGTCCCCCCTGAAGCGAGTCTGCCCTGCTGACGTGTCCCCCGGGCCCCAGCCCACCGCAGACGCTCTTGCACTCACCCTCACCTCAGCCACACCAGTAAAGTGCTTTGTAAAGTGCAGGTATATAGCAACGCACACACGCCCTGCCAGCCCCCGCCCAGCCGCCCGGCCCACCCCAGGCGATTCAGGGTCCGGGGGCTCTGGCCACGGAGGTCCCCAGCTGCAGGCCGTGAACCGTCCGGAGACCCCGCTGCCTTCCGCCCCTCGGCCCTCCTCCCCCCACCAGGCCCATCTCCGCAGGGGTGCTCCTGAGACTGGCCTTCCAGGCCCTGGTGATGCTGGGTGCAGGGGCGGGCGGCAGAGCCCCAAGCATCTCCTGGGAAATCCGGGGACACTGCTCGGAGCACTGCCTCCCGCCGCCGGCACAGGACAGCGCCTGCAAGGACAGCTGGAGAGGCTCCTCAGCTCGCCGCCTCCGGGCCCAGCTCCTGCGTGGCGGCCACGGCCCCGGACGAGACCGGCCCGCCCCTCCCGGCGAGCGTCAGAGCCCTGGGTGGACGGGATTCCCTCCTCTCTGCAGCCGCCCCCGGCCACGACCCACCTGGGCGCACAGCCGCTACTCACAGAGCTAAGGGCTCTGCCGCCCAGGCGGTCCTCCAGCGGGCAGGACGACGGGCTGGTGGAGAAACCGAGGCTGGGGAGGGGCGGGGCTGGCAGGCGGGCTTCTGGTGCCTCTGGTCTTCCAGCTTGGCTCGGGCCGGCTCCCCACGCAGGCAGGGCCTCGCCTCTGCTCCCCCGGGGGAGGCCACGGGCCCAGCGAGGTCCTTCCGGAAGCTCAGGACCATCGAGGCGGCCCAGCCTCGAGAGGGGTCCGGTGTCTAGGGACAAGGCAGCGGCCTCTCTGAACCCCAGCGTCCTTGTCTGGAAAGGGGCGCCGGCGGGGCGACCATGGGCCCCACAGCCCTGCCCGAGGGGAGTCTCAGCTCGGCGCAGCACGCAGCAGTCTGCCCTGGCCCTTGGCGGCAGGGACTGAGTGGAGCGCTCTCTCCCGGGGCCCGCAGCCTGGGGACTGCGTCCTAACCTCTGGCCTATCTGGGATGGGGCTCTGCTGGTGTGGAGGCGCCGCGCCCGGGCGCCTCTACTCTGAGCCTAGCTCCCCGAGGCTGGCGCCTTCTTCGCCGGCGCGACGAGCCTGGCTCGCCCGTTGTTTGGCTTGAGACGCTGCGGTGAGGACTTGTAGGAAATTTGCGATGGCGGCTGATGACTGCTCCTTCTTGGAAACCTAGATGGCTTGGCCGAATGCGGCGGGGGCGCCGGTGAAGTCCGCTCGGCGACACGGCTCCTTCGTTCCATCCCGGCCTCGAGTTCCAGTTGCTCATAAAAGGCGAGGGTGTGCGCAGTCCCAAACTTGTGGCTTTCCAGGAAACAGCATCCGCAGCATCAAAAGGACCTGGCGCCGCCGGGCCTGGTCCGAGGGCTCCTCTCAGCCCGCCCCTGCAGCCTCCGGGGGCCGCGGTCTCTGCGGCGCTGGGGAGCAGAGTCTGCAGCTGAAGACGGCTCCTCGGAAGCGGCACGGACCTGGCCCGCCGCACACCCCCGGCTCTGTGCCTCGCTCCCCCTCGCTGACCCCGTCGGGGGCGTCCGCACCAGTACCGCTGGCCTCGCTTCTGCTGTGGCTCCCTGGACAGTCCGGGGCCCGCCGAGCTCAAGCTGCAGCCCAGACACGCTCCTCAGGGACGGCCGAGCTCAGCCCGGGCCCGGGCTCGGCCGTCGCGCCGTCTTCACACCCTCTCCGGGCCCCGCTCTGGCGGAAGGCGTTGCTGGAAGGAGGCGACCGGCTCCGGCCGCCCCAGGGCACAGCTTCACGCCGGGCTGGCGAGCGGGCATGCAGCGCCTTCCCGGGAGAGGAGCTGAGCTTCGGACACGAGCTTGGGTTACACGCCAGGGTGCGGGCAACTTGGCAGCCCCGTGGTTCCGGGCGGGTGCGCGGCCAGGCACGAGGCCAGTACCCGAGAAGGCGGCCAGTGGCGCTTTGCTGCAGGGGCGTCCTCGTGGGCAGGCTCTGTCCAAGGCGCCCAGTCACGAGTCGGTGTCCGCCGCGGGCTCCCCCTCCTGCCGGGAGACCCCTCGCGGCCGCCGCGGCACGCCGATGTCGGTGCGGGACACTACAGGCCAGGGCGGGCGGCGGTCTGCTCTGCCGCCTGCAGTCTCAAGTCACGTCTCGGCCCACCCGCCTGCCCGCGAGCTCGGGCTCTGGCCGTCCACCCGCTCCGCACACCTGCCTTCCGTCAAGGCTGGGAGAGGGGTGTCGCCTCGAGGCCCCATCAACTCTAGGTGTCAAGGGTCTTGGCCTTGGGACGTCAAGAACACTGGCATGGACATCTGAGCTTCATCAGAGATGGGGCTGACCTCTCGGTTCTAGAGCATCAGATGGGCCCGCAGCGTGGACATCGGAGCTGGGCCGAGGGTGAGCGGAGGTCACGGCTCTGGGCGTCAAGCGGGTCCTCGTCACCGCGGCTGAGCTTCCTCGCAGGCGGCGCTCAGGGCTCAGTCCTACGCCACGAGGACCCCTAGTCATGGACACCTGAGGCCATCGGAGGGAGGAGCGGAGTGGTGGCTCTGGAACATCCGGGAGAGCCCCACCGTGGGTGTCTGCGCTTCACTGCAGGCGGGGCCGGAGTCTTCCTTCCGGAACCTCAGCTAGGCCCCGTCGTGGCCATCAGAGCTTCATCAGAGACTGCGGCCTGGGTCCAGCTCGGAACGTCAGCTCTAGTCCTTCGTGGTGGATACCTGAGCCTCGGCGCAGGCTGGAGCTCCAGCCCCCCGTCTAGAGCAGGCCCGGGTCGCCCATCGTGGACATCTGAGGCTCACCAGCGGCTGGGGTTGGGGTCTGCGTGCCCGAGCAGCGAGGTCTCAGAGACATCTGGGCACCCCTGGAGGCTGGCGCTGGGGTCTTGATTCCGGAAGGCAGGCGGACACCCGGCTTCCCCGAGGCTGGAGCTGCGGCCTCGGCCCTGAACGCGGCGCAGGGCCCCACGCGGGGAGCAGGCACGGCCCCACGCGCCGCCGCCCGCGGGCTCTGGGCAGGGCGCACTGTCCGGCTGGGCGTGGGCAGGGACCGTCTGTCTGTCTCGCCGCTGCGCACCGGCTCCGTCGCCGTCCAGGGTGGGGCCGGTCTCGCGGCTAGGCCGAGGCCAGGGCCCGGTGCTTCTTTGTCCCTTGACGTGGCTGCGCTCGTGACTGGGCGCGGCCGTGGCTCCTGGGGCGCATCTCTGCTGAGGCGGGGGAGGAGGGGCCGGGAGGAGGAGGAGAGCAAGAAGAGCAGGGTGGGGAGGCCCGGGGGCGTGGGAGGGAGCAGAGCCGGAGGCCGTGGAGATGGTGGCGGAGGTGGGCGGCAGCTTTGGCCCTGGCCGTGGCGGTGGTGGTGGCCTGTCCCTTCTCAGTGCTTGTTGTCCGGCTCACTTGTTCCGGCAAAGCCAGGGGTGCTGACCCCAGGAACACCGGAGCTGCCCTACTCAGCCCCACTCAGCCCCCCAAGCCTGACCTTTCTAAACTGGGGGTGGGGGGTGTTCCTTCTCTCTGAACCCCAGGACCCTGCTCAGTAGGCCGCTGTGGGACGCATGCTGGCCTCAGAGGCGGCCAGGCCACAGCACCTTGGCCGTGGACGTGAGGGGCAGCCCCGCGGGGCCCGGGGCAGGACAGTGAGCTCAGCTCAGACGTCGTCCGCCTCCTGCCTACACTTCTCTCTGGGAAGAAACCTGGCATCCCACGACTGTTAGAAGAAGGGGCACCCAGGTTAGTTCACCCAAACGTGCATCAACCCCAGCGCCCAGCAGGCCAGCTCTGCTTCCAGCCACCCGTCGCCCTGAGCGCCCCGTGGGCAGGGGACGGGGCCGCTGGGCCGCAGCCGGCTTCCCCACCCCCAGCCAAGACAAGCCCGAGGCGAAGGCCATCCCCTCTCAGATTAGTAGCACACCCATCACCGTAGTTGTTAAGGCAAGAAACACATTTATTGAAGCACAGTCAGGTGTCCAAACCCATTTCACAGATGAGGACAAGGGAGGCTTGGCGAACCCCAAGTCTCAGGGCTCACGAGGGGCCGGGCAGGGGCAGAGCAGTGCAGTCCATCGGTCAGAGGGTGGAGTGTTACTCAAGGGGAGGCCCGGTGGGGCGGGCCCTCCTCGCGGGGGCGGCCCCAGGTCCAGAGTCTTTGGGTCCAGCCTGTCCCGTGGGAAAGCGTGCAGGCGTCCCCGTGGCTGTGGAGGCTGAGAGAGACAGGTGCAGATGAAGGCCACCTGCCCCGACTCCCTGCGACAAGCGTTCTCGTGCAGACAGGAGCCGGGAGCCCGGGACGGGAGCCCAAGGCCACTCTGTGGAGAGCCGGTGACGCGGGGCGGGGGTCCTGGCTCCCCACAGCTGGAGCGTGTGGGGAGCTCCAGCCACCAGCTCCTGCACAGCTAGCTGCCCGGTGCCCTCCCTCCGCCGCCCGCCTGCCCGCCCTCCCCCTCTCCAGCACTTGCAGGGCCTTCCAAAGTTCCACTCACACTGCTCCCAGCTCCCCTGTGCACCCCCACCCACGATGAACCCAGAGTCTGGAGCTCTTGGCCTTTCTGAAACCACCCAGCTCTCCTGTGCGGCCCGTGGCCGACATAGCCTCTCTCTCTTCTGGCGGATTCAAAAGACCCTCCCCGGTGCCCCCACTTCTGCCTCTGAACCTGTGAAAGCCACCGCCCAGGGCTGGCCCCCGGCTGGCGGGCGTGTCCAGGGAGCACAGGGCCAGCCCGGGGCCAGTCAAGAGCCACTCCTGGGCCGAGATGACCGCCGGCCCGGGACTCGCGCCAGGAGCAGTCACTCAGGCGACACCCATCTCACCGCGTCCGGACACGGAGCCGACTGTCGAGAGCCACGAAGGGCGCCACCCGCCTCGGTGCCATCCAGCAGCTGCCCGAGAGGGCCAGGTGGCACCAAGAGGACTGGCCGGCCCAGATGCGCGAGCACACCCTTCTTTGGGGGCCTGAGGCTGGGGCTGCGCCCCGAGTTTGCCGAGGCTGCGCCCCAGTCCAGGCCTCTGCCTCACAGGCCAGTGCCGGGGACTGGGCGTGGCCAGGAGGACATGGGAGCGCCAGAGCTGCCTGGGCTGGGCAGGACATCGGCGGGGGGCTGCGCCCAGGGACGCCAGTTCCCGGCACGCGCCACCGGGAGGGCCGGCTGCTGCTCTGGGCTGCGCCCCCACGCCCCCCCCCCCCCCCCCAGACACTCGGAGACTCGGGGATGCGGCATGTGCGTCACGTCACAGTGCATGCACCTCTGCGCACCCCTGAACCCGCCTCCCAGGAGCCCCCAGATGCCCTGGCATGGGAGGAGGCCCCGGCAGGCAGAGGCGCCCGGCTCGGCGTGGGGGAGGGGCTCTGGTGCGGCTCGCCGGGCCCTGCCTGCCCACCTCAAGCAGGCGCTGCCAGGGCCCTCGCCGAACTCGGGGCGCAGCCCGGGCGAGGTCCTTCAGGGGCACAGGCGCGGGCACCAAGGCCAGTCACAGCAGCCGCGAGTGGAAAGGGCACAGCCTTTCCCGCGAGGCAGCTTGGTCCTGGCCCAACGCCGGCGGGCCCGGAACCTCGACGTGCTCGGCCATAAGACGGGCCCCGGGGAGCAGGGAGCAGGAGGGTAAGGCGCAGAGCTTCATGCCAGGCGTGGGCAGGGCTGAGCAGCCGGGAAAGAAGGGACGGGGCGGGAGGAAGGGAGCAGCCCAGGCCTGACCCCCAGGGCAGGAGGGACCCACCGAGCGGTGAGCCGGCAGCCCCTCTGCGCCCGCTCGCTGGCCCCCGCCCCCTCAAGACGACCAGGCCCGGGACAGGCAGTGGACACGCAGAAGGCAACAGCAGACACGGCTCAGCAAGCAGCGCAGGGCAGCCCCCGCTGACCCTGGGACACAGGACGCACCACGCACACAGGACCACGCCGGCTCTCATCTCCCTGCAGACGTGCACGAGCCCGGTTGCTCGGCGCCGGCCGCTGGCCGTCTCAGCCCTGGACGGGAGGGGACGCGCCCTGAGCTCAAGGCTGAGCGCAGGGGCCTCCCCGCGCCCGTCCCGACATCCCCGACCTGTGGCGCCCAGTGACAGCAGCCCCACAGCCGCCCACCAGTCACAGGTCTCGAGAAAGCGACCGGCAGTGAGAGGGGAAGTCGGCGGCGTGGCCTCGGCTGTGACCCAGGCTGACTTCCCACGCCAAACTCCGACCGGACAGAGGGGCGGCAAGAGCCCAGCGCTCGGGAAACTCGGCAGGCAGGGCCGCTCCGCCCCGCACGGCTCCGTGAGCCCAACGCAGCCGCCCGGCGGCTCAGCCAGCACGGCCACTCGCGCGGGCTACAGTTTCCTTCTCTGACCACCCGCCCACGTCCCAGCGCACCGCAGAGCAGCAGACTGCCCACAGGCCGGACGCAGTGGTAGGTGGCCCTTGGCACTCGCAACCACTTCCAGGGGCGAGTGCGGACACGCACGCGCCCCAACAGGCCTCCCTCGTCTTACCACGCCTCCAGCCGCCTGGGGAACCGATCCCCACCGCAGCCATGCAGAGCGCCCCCACCCCAGCCTCCCACCCACCCCGGCATGCCCCGGGGGCACCCCAGTCACTGGTGTCCTCACAACAGCCCTGCGAGGTGCGTGCCCAGACCCCTGACCCGGGCCGGGCCGTGCCGCGAGGTCCAGCCACACACGCTGCTGTTTGTCCAGCCCGGGTCCTGGCTCCTCCGCTGAGAGATCAAGAGAGCCCCACGGCGACCCCCCCCCCGCCCTTCCCACCCCAGAACGGAGCTCGGGGGCTGCCTGCCTGGGACCCACAGGGCCTGGGACGCCACCTGCCCACAGCATGCTCCGGCCTGCACCCGGGCAGTCACGTGCCCACTGTCTTCGGAACAGAGCCCAGCATTACCTAATCTGGCCGGGACGGACACGCTAAGGTCGCTCTGTAGAAGATCGGGGTGCCCCGGTGGCCTGAAAGCCTGCTCACAGCCAAATTGCCCTCATCCAGACGCCCTGCCCGGCTCTCTCTTGGGCTCTTAAGCACCTGGGCTGTGATTTCCCAGCAGCCGGGGAGCAGTTTGCTGATTACTAATCAGCCCAGTTTCCTAAGGAGCCGAGTGGACGAGGCAATCAAACCTCGGGGACCGGGCCCGAGGCGCCCGCTCCCGAGCGGCCCGCTGGTGCACCAGGCGGACCGGGTGAGTGGGTCGGTGTGTGGGGGTGGTGAGGCCGGGGCTGGAGGCGGATCTCGTGGAGACGCATGGGAAGCGTGGGGTACCTGGCAGTGAGCCGGCCCCGAGGAGGACGCGTCAGACCCAGCACGGGCGCCCCCGCCCCCCCACCCCGAGATGGAGGCTTGCTGTCTGCAAAGGGAGAGGCCACGGGGCCACGCCCAGAAACATAGGCCAAGCTGGGGTCCCCTCTGGCCTCCCCAGTTTGGGAGCTGAGGGCAGAGAGTGGGCCTGACGCAGGAAGCTGGAAGTGGTGCTCTAGTAGAGGGCCGGTGGGAGAGCAGGGCTGGAGGGGTGTCCTGAAAGTCGGGGTGGACCCAGCGAATGCACACCCTCCCCACACGACCACGGAGACCCTGGCTGACCTCGCAGCAGCCCCTGGGGCCTCGTGAAATGCCACTGCCCGGTTGAAGAAAAATTAAAGGCCGCACTTCCACCGGCCTGCGGGGCACACGATGAACCCCAAGGAAGCGTCCGCGCCGAGGCGGCCTCCCCAGGCAGGACAGGAGGCAGCGTGTGCCGGCGGCCTGAGAGGTGGGTGGGCAGGTACAGGGCGGCTTCCTCCAGTGACGGGTGGGTGGTGTCTGGGCGGACACGCGCTGGACATGGCTGTCGGGAAGGCCAAAGAGCCACTCCTGTCCGGCCAGAGGCACAGCAGCTGCAGTAGCGTGCGCCGCCCAGAGGAACAGCTACAGAGGTCCCCAGGCTGCCACGTCACCCCGCGCCCCGGGGCGAAACCATGGGAACAGCCTGAGAGGCACCCACCCTTGGAGGCCCCTACGACACCCTCCCTGAGTCTCCCTGCCAGCCCCCGCGAGGGACCCGGGACAGAGGGCGCCCCACATCCCACAGCACCCCCCCCCCGGCCTGGCCTGCTAGGAAGCCGTAGCCCCACGGACTTGGACAAACAGCTCACAGAAGACAGACACAAACTGCGGGCAAACGTGGAAACGTGCAGTCCTCGGTAGTAACCAGAGCAGCGCAGGGTGAAGGACAGAAAACACTTTCTAAGAGATGAACTGGCGCGTTCGTGCAGGCGGCCATGCTGGCCGCTGCCAGCCTCCGGGCCGCCCGAGCCCCAAGGCCAACCGGCGACTTCATCCCAGCCAGGCCCGTCCGCGCCCCCGACCTCTCACCCAGCAGGCGCCGCCGCGGCGCCCAGGCCCGGTCCCGGGAGAGGACACCCGTCGGCAGCTCCTCGCCTCCGAGGCTCACAACCTAGGACAGACCGACTCGCCGAAGCCAGGATCTCTCCTGGGTGTGAAAAGGAAACGGGGAAGAGTGAAACACGGGGCGTGCTGAGCCGGCGGCCGCGGCATACTGGGGGCGCCAGGGGAAGCCGGCGTCTGCGCAGAAGCCACGGCCAGGGCCAAGCCGGCGGGGCCCCGCGAGGCCGTGGGGGGGAGAGCCGGGCAGAGCAGCAGGGCAGGGGTGGGCACAGCAGGGCGCCGAGGCGGGAAAGGAGGCCGGAACGGCGGGCGCTCGTCAGCAACAAGGACAGAGGCACGTTTACAGAAAGGCGCCACGTGCTCCGATGACATCAGGAGACAGGGACACCCCCCACCCCAGAGGCGGCCCCTCCAGAAAAGGGGGGTCCAAGAGGCACCCAGGGAGCGGGCACAGAGCACAGACGCAGTCAGCCGAGACAAAAACCCCGCCCTGTCCTGGCAGGTGAGACAGAAACGCAGACAGAGCTGAGACAGAGCCCGGAGGGGCTCGGGGTGGACGCGGACCGGACGGGACGCGGGCGCCGGGCCCGGGCCTCCGACCCGCCGGAGCCGTGCCAACTGCCAGTCTCACTCCCAGAGCCGCCGCCGGCCCTTGCCTCTCACTGGCGCCCACCCAGGCCCCAAGAGGTCAGAATTCGCTTCTCCCAGCCCGGCCCCCCGCGCAGGCCGAGAGCCCCTTCCCGGCTGGCTCCCCCGACTGGCCCAGCCTGCCTGGGCCTCTTTCTGGGCCAGGCCCGCCGCCGCCCCCAAACACAGGGGACACGCGGGCTGGCGCCTCCGCCCGCACCCTCAGCTGGCCCCACGGACACGGGCAGCCCTGGCAACACGGCTGTGAGCAGCGCCGAGGGGGCGCCTGACCCGGGACACGGCTTCTCTTCTAAATGCCGTTTTCACGCACTGCGGCTGGGGAGCCGCCTCCAGGGGCAGCCTGGTAGCCCTCGGCCCCCGGGCCTGGACGTGACAGGCTGTGCCCGGCGGGGCGGCCCCCTGGGCTCCGTGCGCCCGGCCACGCCACGCGTCCTGGGTCCGCCACGCTGACCCCTCCCGCTTGGGCACGTGGGACAAACCCAACAGGGTTTACTAAAGCCACAGGGACCGCGGCGCTTGTGTTCACACAACGAGGGGCACAGAACACACAGCAGCCAACCCGGCCACGCCGAGAAGGGCGGGGCCCAGGCCTGTGGCGCAGGCAGCGGGACAGACCAGCAGACGCCCCGCGGCCCTGCCGACGCCCCCGGTACACAGCACACCTCAGACAGACAGTGAGGCCTTGAAACAGGCCCTGGGAGGACATGGCCAGGGGCCACCACGGGCCGGGCAGCCAGTGGGCTCAGAGGCACCCGGCCCCAGGACTGCCCCCCAACCCACAGATGGGGGTGCACCCACATGTGTCTGAAATTCACAGGAACCAACTTCTAGTGATTTGCCACTGGCACCTGGGTCAACCTCAGGCCCGGCTCCTGGCACCTTCAGACCTGCCTCCTTCCCAGCACTGACCCAGGGTGGGCCCGACCCACAGGCCTCCCCCCCCCTTGCTCTCTGCTGCCCCCTGGTGGGAAGATGCCCCCTCGCAGGTAACCCACACCCAGGGAGGGGCCAAGACGCTCACCTGGCCCAACACACCTGTTCACAAAGCCTTCTGCAGGCCCAGAGCCCGACCCTCCCGCCTCTTGGCTACAGAGGGGCGCAGCCAACAGGCAGGAGAGCGTGCACCCCTCATCAGTCCAAGCAGAGAGCAAATGCCCTTCCAGGTTCACAATGGAAACTGAGGATGAGAGCAGAGAAGTGGCCGGCCCAGCCAGGGCAGGCTACGCTGCTCCAAGATGGGGTCCCCTGGGCTGCCCCCGGCACAGGGAGTCACATGTCACAAGCACCAGGCCCCCAGAGGCGCCCCGCCCGCACCAGAGGGGTCTTTCTCCCTCTCCCACCCTCCCCCTTCCACCCACTGGGAACTGGCCCTTCACCCAGGAACTCAGGCAGCCCCGTCCTCAGGCCAGCGCAGCCCCTGGCCGTCCCCAGGCCAGCGCAGCCCCTGGCCCTCCTAGGCCAGCGCAGCCCAGCCCCTGGCTGTCCTCAGGCCAGCGCAGCCCAGCCCCTGACCGCCAAGACGCCCTCCTCAGCCCTGGGTGCTCGACATGGACTCCTCCTTCCTTTCCTGCCTCTATCTCTCCCACCTCTTGCTTCCTTCCCTGCATCGTCTCCTTGAGTCTCTCACTGCACATTCCGGGACACAGGGTGACTCGGCTGTCACTCCTGGCCCGGAGCCCCTTTCTCCCTCTTCCACGCACTCCGTGGCCTCCCTGTCTTGTTCAGGTTAGTCAAATCCCTGGCAAAAATGAGCCCCGCTGGCCCCACACCCACGGACCAGGCACCTGCTGTGCCCTCGGCCACCTTCCAGACACGTCTGCTCGTATTGTCAGCCCTCAGCCGCGCAGCCGACGTTCCGTTACGCTTTGAAAGGTGGGTGCTTTCTCCGGTAAAGGCCTGTGTACGAAGCCGATCGGCACCCCGTTCAGACACCCTCTGGACCCCGTCTGTCACACCGGTGGCTTCTGATCTTTCCTTTCACCCCTTGGCTGCTGTTGGGCTCCCTCCACTCTCCCTGGCCCCCCCTGAGGACCAAGGGTCCAGTCCGCCCTGCCAGGTCCTCTCCGCCAGAGGCCCCAGCCTGGGCCCCAGCAGCCCCAGGGCACCCTCAGGGCTGAGCCTCGATCTGCCTCTGACCCTGCCTCTGACCCAGCCACCGGTGGCCTCAGCCTTCCTGTTACTCTCCTATTCCGGATTTTACTTTCATGTGTGGGCCTCAGGTGCACAGAATTGGATCAGCCCTGCTCCGCGGCCCCGGGGGCTGCTCACACCAGCCCATGCGCTGACGCCGCGGCTGGTGATTCGGCCGAGGGGTGACTTAACCACCTCAAGAGCCTGGTTTTGAGTGAGTCGTACGCTCGCGGCCCAGCAAGCCCCTCTGCGCGGGGCGTCGCCGGGCCCCCCACCGGGTGCCCCACCGCTGCCCTCCATCCTGGCCTGACTGGTGGGGTCCCTCATTGCCAGCCTTCTCTTCCGCATCTCCTCATCCGTAGGAGCCAGGTGCAGACGTGAGCGCGTCCCAACGGGCATCGCCCGCTCGCTCGGACACTCCTGTGCAGGCCGCTCTGGGGCGGGCCGGTTCCTGTCCCGTGACGGGCGGAGCCCTGTTTTCCGTATTTGCCAGGCGTATGAATAACGTTAGTTCGCCCCACTTAAGTACTTATCCAGTAAGTGCCTTGCCCACGTGTCTGTTCAGTTTCTTCCCCTGCCCTGTTCTGACCCCCGTCTCTCCTTCAATTCTTCAAACTCGCCCTAAGAACGTACATTCCTCCTTTCAGCCTTTGATTTATAGCTGGGTTTTTATGGTGTATCTGCTTGAGGGCCACAAATCTGAACCCGTGGGCATCGTCTGCGCCAGACCCGTGCTCCCACGGGCGAACCTGCCTGACCTACTTGCGTCTTCTCCCTCCTCGCTCGCTCTTTGATTTCCTCCCCCTCACCGGCGTGTGTCACACCCTCAAGGCCTCTCTGGACCCTTCATCTTCTGCAGCCGACTGACCTCCCGCAAGCCCTCTTCTCTTCCGCCTTCCTTCACACGTCCACGCCTGCACGGTCTTTCTTTCCATTACTCTGCACGCCTGCACGGCAGGTGCACCTACCTGGACACGGCACCAGCTCCCACGCTGACCTCCCCCAGCCCGGCCCCCCACCCGGCTCAGCTTTGGGCCGCCCCTGGCCGGGCCCAGACGGCCCAGACGAGACCGCCCCGCCGCGCCCTCCAGCGCCCTCTGCGGACAGAGACGGGCCACGCTGGCCGCGGCCTCCCCCTTCCCCAGCTCTCTCCCACTCTCCCTCTTCTGTTGCCCACCTGATCCTTCTGGTGCTTAGCTGCCAGGACCCGGAGTCAGGGCCGCCTGCGGGGGCCCACCTGGGTGGGGTGTCCCACCCCCCCTCAGCCCCCGCGACGCTGCCCGGGCCCATGGCGCCCCATCCTCCCTGTCGGCCCCAAGTGTGCCCAGCGCCTGAGACCCTCGGTGCTAGCTAACGTCACCTCAGGTGCCCTGGGTCCTCCTTGCTTTCTGACTGTCCGGTGTGCGCCAGGAGTACAGGGGGTCCAAGCTGAGGCCCGGTGCTCAATAACCCGCGTGTCCCCACTGCTGCACGCCCCCCAGCCCAGAACCGCCACTTCTCCCGTCCATGATCACTTTCGCTCCCTCCACTTCCTTCGCGGCCTCACTCCCTCTCTGTTCATGACCCCAGTAAGTCCGACCCCACCATCAGTTTGTGGGGGTGGGGGGCTCAGAGTCCTCTTTACCTTTCTGTTAAAACTATCCGACGCACGAAAAGCTCTGCGCAACTAACGTGCACAACTCAAGGAGCTGGAGAGAAGCACGCACTGAGAACCCACCGCCACAGTCCACGCACCCCAGGGCCCCCCGCCCTCTTACGGACGGCTGGGACCCCGTTTGGGGACAGGATACTTCCCGGGGCCCCCTGACACGGCGGCCCGCACCTGACCGCTCTGTGCGTCGGCGTCCTGGGCGGCAGCCGGACCTGGCCGCCTGCATCTCTACCTGTCTGGTTTACACCCAACCCCGCTCTCACTCGTTCAACCCACCCCCCATTTGACAATGCAAGAGACACCAGAGAAATGACCTCCCACCAAGACAAGCTCTGAGACCGGCGCCCTCCCCGAGGGGACCACCGAGGGTGCGGCCCGTCCTCGGCACGGACCACAGGGATGCGGGTGCCGGCAGGCGGCTGTTTGTGCTGCTCTGCCACCCAGGCTCATGCCCGGGGCCGGCTGGCGGGGGGCAGGGAGGCCCAGGCCCCCGGGCCCCTCAGTGGCATCCCCATGAGAACCCTGTTTCAAGACCCCGAGCACAGAGACACACGCTGTACACAGCCCCCCGGTGGGAAACACGGACACAGAGTTCACTTCTAAATAGACGGCTTTGTGTGCAGCAACATAAAAATATTTTGGCCTTTCAAGGCCAATACAAAAGAAACTCCCCATTACCATTGCTGAGTGTCTCGGTCCCAAACAATAAAGAACTTGAGGAGGTTTAGCCGGAAACTTTGAAGACAGAAAATCTGCCCGTTCTGTTTTCCAGACATTTCAAGGGGGCGCACGGAGGTCACCGGTGCTCCGAGGCCATTTGAGAGGCTGGTCCCTCGGCCTGGGCTTTTCCTGGCCCTCTCAAGGGCCCCCAGCTCCCAGGGCCACTTCATCCTCGAATGCCCTGCGGCACAAGAGGCAAAGGAGACTCCACAGTGAAGGGCCATTCATGGGCAGGAGAGGAGAGGCGACATTCTTGCGGGGTCCGGCCCTCCAAGCCGCCCGTAGGGTCCTTTGCCAGAGACGGCACGAGGGGCTGGGTCCTGCCGCAGCCCGCTGGCCCCCCAGGCCCACACGCGGCCCCATGGGCGCCCCACCCCGTGCTCGCCCGTCTGTGTGCGCTGGGGAGCAGCCCCCCAACCCCCAGTGCCAAGACCACAGATGTGCGTCCCACACGCCAGCAACTTACGATTCCGAGCTGGAGGGTGCGGGGCCGGTGTCCGAGGTCCCTTCCCGCAGAGGAGTCCAGAGGGCGGCTTCGGCTGGAAGGAGAAAGCCCCGGTCACTGACCTGGAACTAGCAGCCGCGGGGACCCCAAACTGGGCATCAGAGGAGCCGGCATTGCTCTCTCCCACGCCCGGCCCCGCTCACTCACCTGCGGCCCACACAACCCCGGCTCCAGCTCCACAGCGGGTGGACCGGCCAGTGCCCACTCACAGGACGCAGCCTTGGGGATGCCCTCGGGCCTGAGCGCTGCCTCGGGGAACCCAAAGGTGCGGGGACCCCGAAAGAGCAGACAGAACGCCCCGGAAGAGCCTCCACCGTGCAGGCAGGACACCAAGGAGCCAGGCCTGGGGGAGGCCAGGGAAAGGCTCGGGGGCTCGACCCAGCAGCGCTGCCCACGGCCACAGCACGCAGGCCACGCCTGGGGGAAGCCAGGGAAAGGCTCGGGGGCTCGACCCAGCAGCGCTGCCCACGGCCACAGCACGCAGGCCACGCCTGGGGGAGGCCAGGGAAGGGGCTCGGTGGCGCCAAGCAGACATCTCCTCCGTACTGGCTACGTGCACCGGGGCCGCCCCGTGAAGGCGACAGCGGCCACTCCGAGCACTAAAGTTTGAAAAGAGTGACTGAGGGGTGCCAGATGCACGCCTGGCCCAGCACCCACGGGCGCGCACCCCGGTGCTCCCAGCATCGCCCGCTAATGATGATGCATCATCAGCTGAAACTAATGGCCGCGTGCAAGGTGTTAACGATCCGGGAAGTGGGGGGTAATGGGACATGGGGTCCTTCCTGCTCACTTTTCCAGTAACACTGCAGACGCTCGGGGAAGTCCATTAAAACTGTATTTGCAAACTAAGTTGATCCTCAGTGTTTGTTCAGGAAGAGTACCCAAAGGTGGGCCGCAACGGCTGAGGTCTAATTGGCCTGGTGAGGTGGAGGCGGGGAGCAGGGAACACGGAGGTGCAGGCTGCTCCCTGGTCCTCCAGGAGCCCCCAGGAAGAGCCCTGGCGACGGGCCTGCTGGGCCTGAGCCACGGGACACCCCAGAAGCCCTAGCCGCCCTGCCCCGACCATGTCGCTCCCGGGTGGCGGGGACTCGGGAGGGTGGGGAGTTTCCTGGTCCTCCTTACAATCCCTTCCCTGCCTTGAGCTGGCCAGTTTCTCCCTAATTGCTGGGTTTTCTGACCAAGCAAAAGAAAGCATCTTAAAAGTAAGTGTCCAATAAGCAGTGAGGAGATCACGGACAGGCGCAGGCGGACGCAGGTCACCTAAAAGCTCCAGGATCCCCATTTGAGGCCAGAGACACCCCAATAGGGATCTCCATTTGGTACCAGAGACACCCCATTAGGGACCCCCATTGGGTACCAGAGACACCGCATTAGGGATCCCCATTTAGTACCAGCGACACCCCAATAGTCTGACACCTCTGAGCACCTGGGGTGAGCACCTGGGGTGAGCACCTGGGGTGAGCACCTGGGGTGCCGTCTGGTTACCACCGCCTGATCCCAGGAGCCTCAAGATTCCAGCCCCTGAACACCCAGCGACAGAGCCCTTCCACCCTGCAGGGGTGACCCCAGGGCCCCTTTGGTATTTGCAACAGGGTCAGGAAACCAGGAGGTGCCCGCATAGGGGTTTCTCCCTGTTTCTGCTCTCCTAGGGCGCACAGGCCTGTCTGTAAGTCCGTGCAGACCCAGGGGCAGGGCTGGCCTGGATTTGCCAGCGGTGCCCACAAAGCAGAGCTGGGTGGATGGGAGTCCCTGACCACAACGAGCGGTGGACTCCGCGCAAGGGGCACAGGGGGGCCTTCGCAGGGGGGTGCTCAGAGCCCCGGCCTCAGGGGCAGCCCGGGACCACCCCAGAAACCCTCCCGGACCAGCCAGGCTCGAAAGGCCCCCGCTCCGCACCCCAGGTGTTCACAGGGTGCTTTCTAGAGGCAACGGGCTCCCTGGCGGGGCAAGCCCTTGGCGCCGCGGGGAGGTTTAGCTCCCTGAAAAGGTGCTTGGAAGTAAAATGCTGGCTGTGAGAACTGGCGTGGCAGCCTCAGGCTCCCGCCCGGACCTGGGACGTTTACGAAAACAGGAGCAGTAGCTGGGACATCTCTTGAGATCTGGTCCCCTCCACCGGCCACACGGGCCCTCTGATTTCAGGGGGCTGGCTCTGGGGGTGTTTACATATGCCTCTTCCTGGAATGTCACTCTTTGCCTCAGGAGTGGGCAATTAGAGAGAATTAGGCCTATTTGGCTTATGTTTGCCGCTAATGGACAGAGTGGCCGAGGCAGCCTTGGGGAAGGCGGGCTGCTGGTCTAATTGAAGCTGGCAATTTTTCGATTCCTCATTTCAGCTCGCAGGTATTGTAGCAACCAAGGTCACAAACAAAAGCCACAGCCCACCACAGGAACAGCCGGGCGCGGCCAGCCCGGGCTTCGTGAGCTATTTATCACGCGTGCTGCAGCTCAAAGAGAGCTGGAGGTGTCTGCAAAGCAGCCTGAGCCGCTGCGGGTGCAGGTGCTGGT